TCAAGTAACCCAAGGTTGTAACCTCAGATTGGTATGCATCCCACAGTGCAGTACTCCTGATTGCAGATGCCCTCTTGGGAATTTTAGAACAATGGTAGTTAACAGTGAGTTAGGCCTTCCTAATAATAAGACTGAGCATGAAGGTGAGTTTCACCATCTTTCTCTAGTGGTGACTTTGGCCATCTCAGAGAAGCAAGCCAGCAGTGGAATAAAGGCAATTCCTAGTGGGAGTATAGCCAGATCTGAGTGGATCCATTCTGTTACCAGAAAACTCAAAACACAAACCTAGGGACCGTAGACCAGTAGTGTTGTCTGCAGTTGTTTCATTTTAACATTGGATCTCTTTTTCCCCCTAATCAGGGATTGATTAAAGTACATTAATTATAAGCTTTGCACAATCCCCAGTTTAACATTCTTGAGATTCAGATCCCATTTTGAAGCTTTCTCATTTCCATCTAAAACAGGATGTTGTTGCTTTAAAATCACATTCATTTTATAGAACTCATTAAGCACACAGCAAATTAAGAGCAAGTGACATTATTTTCTAGTTAAATTTGCAAAGGGATGATCTGAATGAATTACTCATATCCCTGATTAATTTTTAGCGGAAATAATGAGGAGGTTGTAAATGGAAAAACATGTGCATGTGCGTACAGAACCCGCCTTTCAAGCACAAAACAATTTACAAGTATGCTAATTGATGGCTCTACAAATAAGTAATCTTGGAAAAATGTCTTCAGGTGCTTATGGGCATCTAATAGGACTGGTAAACAACATTAACTCAATGAGTCACTGCTCTGTGAATTTTAAGGGACTTGAATTCTACTTTGTTGAGCTCTCTCTCTCTCTCTCTCTCTCTCAACCATCCCTTTTCCCCCCTCTCCTTCCATCCCTCCCTTCCCTACCTCCATCCCTCCTTCCATTTATCTCTCTCTATTGCAATATCCAGAATTGGTAAGTATATGGGAAAATTGATACCAAGACTACATTCATTCAAAAAGAAAGTCTTTCTGGAAGGCTACTTGTAAAGAAAATCAAATCCTTAAAAACACTCATGGCCTC